AAAAATGAAGCAACTTGCAGAACAGACAACCATTCATGTTTAGGAGTTGCACGTGAGGTTTAATTTCTTAATCATTACCTTCACTCAAGAATATTATATGCACGTGTGCTGAAATTATATTTCTATGAGCATACTTACTTCTCAAGGCAACTTGTATAGAAAACTTAGTTTTAATTTTAATGATAAAATAAATCGAGTTTATAATAGATTATTAGATAGTTAACATGTTTGTTGTCTAATAAAACGAATTTGCAATAGATCATTGGATAGTTAACATGTTTGTTATCTAACACTTAATGAAATAATAATCGAACAGTGAATTTCTATATACGAAATATATCTTTTTAATTAATTCCACATCAATTTAATTTACCAACTTACTAGATGCAAAATATCATGTAAACATATACTCCGTAATAAGTTGATTACATCTTTTACAAGAGAGTATGAATATTACAAATGAATTCTATTAATTAGAGGAGTACGTTACGTAATAGTTAAGATCAGATGTTACTATATATATTCACATGTAAAAACCTCATTTTAGCTTATCACCATGACTAAAGATACGCCAAAACATCAATTTAAGTTTTAACTTTATCAGTATATTTCAATTCATTATATGCAGATATAATGTACGTGATTTTCAACAACTTATTCATTTATCTAAATTGAAATAACAATCGAACATTTCTTAAATGTATATGTATATCCGAAATGTGACAACTAGATCCGAGCAAAAAGGAGTTAAATTTGTGCTATAAGGGCGCACGTGGGGTTCCATGCACACTTTCTCCCTTCTTAATGCAACAATTCCAAATATTAATATCACACCACCCTCTTTTCTTTTTCTTGCCCATCACTTTCCTCTCCACTTCTCTACTGTAGGAGTATCTTCTACTGAAGTAGTAAGATTTTCTAACTTCTATAGAGGCAGTTATAGACTTATAAATTTATAATGTTTACTTTGGTAATTAGTTAGGCTGCTTCTTCCTTAATTTTGCATTAATATACAATAGTATGTATAAGCAATGAATGAAGCACAAATTAAGGTAAACATGGATGAAGTAGTAGCAGAGCTACAAAGCGAAAGGCGAAAGAATGCCGAGCTTTTGCAAAGGATATCAGCTCTAGAAGCTCAAATTCAACATGAAACAGAAAAGAGCTCTTCTACTTCACTCATGAAAATTAATGGTCAAGTATGTTTTTTTATTTCTTTTTTTTTTTTTTATTTATTTATTCCCCTTGTCTATTAAAAGTGTTTTTATTTTATTCATATATGATTAGTATTATGAAATTATTGGTAGTTAATTATAAGTTCGTTTTATGTGCAATGATGTATTCTTCTTAAGTTCATTTTTATTTTTCGATGAAGTAGGAAGCTAATAAGGGTTGGTAGTGAAGCAAGCTAATCGTAAGGAACTCCAAGTTGATCCTGAGGATGAAATTAGATCGGATTTAAACATTTGATCCAAAGAACTTTTACCAAACTTCCCTTTATTTAGTAAAGATTATTCTACATGTATTGATGTAAACATATATTCAACAATTTGAGATTATATTGGACTAAAAGGTTTGATCTAAAGAGTGTATATGTGTGTTTTATTTATCGTTGATCGTATATAGTGAGTAACGAGTAATATATATTCAAAAATTAATGAAATTTTGGGGTAAGGTTACGTATGTCTAAACCTAGAAAAAGCTATTATAGGTCGTGAGCTAGGTACATACTTTCTCTTAGTGATCGAGGTTGCTTGTATTATTGGGGGCTTGTCCCAGGTTCTCACAGTGAGAAACAAAAATTGTTTCTCACATTGAATTTTTGTAAATAAATCAACAACTTTATCCAGTCACCATCAATTGTGGGGCTCACAATAATAAAAAAGTTGTTGGTTTATTAATTTACGAAAATGCCATGTGAGAAATAGTTTTTGTTTCTCACTGTGAGAAACTGGAGCATACTCGTTAGTCATCTAGTTTTGTGAAAAAAAGAAAAAAAAAATCTCAACTAGTTCATGTTTCTTAATTTCGATAGTTGTGCTAAAGTATGTTTTAGGAGTAACCATGAAGCATCTCCTTGCATAGGACAGATAATTTATACCAGGATATGATCTTCAAAATCAATTAATCAGCTGAAGACAATGAACCTCATTGTTAGCTTAAGTTGCTTCAAATTTGGCTCCTTTTAATCTAAAATAAGACTCAAGATCCTAGGCAAGTATTCTTTGAGACTTGAAAGAACACACACACACACAAAAAAAAAAAAAAAAAAAAAAAAAAGTTGTCTTGGCATTTCAAAAGTTGTTGAGTTGTTATTTATACTTCAATTTATTATGTATGTAAAAAAGATTAATAACAGACATTGCTACATCTACTCACTGGGTAGTTATCCTACTATATATTGAACGTACGTACTTAAGGATCAACTAGCTAGGGGAAATGACACACAATCTTAATGCTTTTATAAATTTCATTTCCAGATTAGGCATCCAAATAGTACTGAAGATAGATGCAGCATGAAACATAAGAGACTAAAGATTGAAACAAGTGCTGAAAAACTTGATATGAATGACATAAGATCTCCAAAAGATTCGAAACATGAGAAGGGTGTTGTAAGTTGGATGTGTATGGATAATGAGACACAATCTCTACTTTTCGACAAATCTAAAGATGTCGAATCTATGTTGGAATGTAAAGATCATACAGATGACAATGATGATGATGAAGACGAATCGTGCACTTATGAGGATGCACAAGATCATGTGAAAATTGTAGATGAAGAAAGTGTAGGCCAAGCCATTGGTGAAGAAATGTGTATGAACTCCAAAGAGTTTAGAACCCGAGACCGCCTAAATGAGGTAGATGTTTCGAGCATGAGTCAAAAATTAGAACAAGGTTGGGAAGAAGTGAAGAAGAGTAAAGGATTTAGAAACTTGTCTTTACAAAAGAAGCCTCCTAAAGTTGCTTTCTGCCCCAAAGAAGTAAGGGGAATATTGGAGTCTCGTATGCTCGATATGAAGAATGCTCAGGCTCATACCATGAGGAAGATCATAGTTTTCGCGTCATTAGGCCTAAGGCATGGGTGTGATGATATGTATGAATTGGACTTCAATCATTTCAGCATTTTGAGGAAGGGAGAGCCTTATATATCACAAAGTAATCCAGGGGTAACCAATGAAATCAATTCTTGTATGATAAAGAATTTCTTGTTATTTGTTGTGCTTCAAAACTAGTAGGGTGTAAGTTTGGTTTCATGTATTATAGGAGCATGTTTTATTCGAAAATCCTGGAGTGAAGAGGAAGGTGTTTTACCCCAATCGACACAACCAAGTGTTATGTCCTGTTCGGATACTAGAGGAGGAACAAGCTATGCGCCCGTGTGATGTTACCTGTCCATCATGCTTGTTTCTGAGCATCAAATATGGTGGGAGTACAAGAAATATTCCGCAGGACGAGTAAGGCTTCCTTACTTTTACCTAGAAATACTTATCTGAACTTATTACACCTTATCATAACTTACATGGATTTGTCAATATTGATCTTGCACGTAACCATATAGCTCTATCTTAGCTAATAAAAATACAAATTTACATATGCATATTGTACTTGTGAGCTAATATTAGTATGTAACCTTCTGTGAGTTGCATAAGATATGTAAGGCAACGAATGGGACGAAACAAGCTGAAATCATTTGGTCCACTCATATGCCTTATGGCGAGACTAGTCAATGTTAGAACGGGGAGTTTCTTCTTTAAGGCTCTTGGTATCACACTGCTCTTCATGGCAGGTTTTCCTGATGACATTGTTCAGAGGGAAACTAAGTACAGGAGCTTAGACCTGTTGCAGAAGTACTACAGGTATGTAAATCAAGTCTGTTTTCAATAAATAAGGTTCTCACTATAATCACTGTCAAATTACAATATCGATCTTTTGTTTTTGTTTTGAGCATAATTGCAGAACAGATGAAGATGCAGCAGGGGAGGAGCTTTTTCTTACAAAAGCTTCAGCTTCTGAACTAGTAAGATAATTTCTTTTTAGTTGATTCACTGTATTATACTAGCATTTATTTTGTTTAGACAGCCTCTTTCCGGCCAATAATTTGAGACATTCTGTGAGTAATTTCCTCAGGCTCCTCCTGAATTGGAGAAGCCTAATACAAAGACAACAAGAAGATCAAAAGGAAAGAGGCAGCAAACTGCAAGTTTTGCAAGCAATGAAAATTCGAAGACGCCTCCACAAGCAACAACCGCAGCTCCCCTTGTCACTCCTAATGCAACATTTCAGACTATGCAATCATCAAATCATATGATCCTCAACTCCCTGCAGCCTAATATATTTTACAATCATGTCAATCAACATCCTTTATGCCCGATGTTATTCCCACCTCGGCCAGCTAATGCAATGACACCTTTGATGTATTGGCCTATGGTTCAGAATGCATATCCTACTTGCCCTCACCCGGCTTCAACTTATGAATATCGGTCTTTAGATGGAATTAATCAAAGCCACTACATGCCAGTCCATCCATGGCCTTGTTATAGCCATAGACTAGGAACACACGTTGCTGTTGATTCAAACGAAGCTGCCATTACAGACTCTGCAAGCAGTACCGAGCATAAGTAAGCTCTAGTCAGGTTGCATTGTGCAAAGACCATTTCTATGTTGCCTTGATACAATGATGCATTGGTCCATATGTGCATTTGCACCTATTTTTTCCTCTTTTATGGGAGGAACAGAAAAGAAAAAAGAATACTTTATTTCTTGGTATTAGAAAAGGTGGCTCCTGCTGGTTTATTTTCCTATAATTCTTCGTAACACTACATCAGCAATGTTTTAAGGAAAAAAAAAATTACAGTTTAATACGAAGAGTTACAATTGCAACATCAGTTGGGGGAAGGGAAATAGAATATGACAAGTTCAGTAGTGAGATTTTCATACAGAAACACTAACTGAAACACAATATTAATAGTAACTAATTTTGGATAACTGTATATGCCCAAATCTGAACTTTGTTATGATTAACTGCAAGAAGGGTTACAGAAACTAGGATGTACGAAGTAGTAATTTTAAAATCTGTTATTCTTAAACAATGTTGTGTATACACATTTATTGTCGTTTATGACATTTTGGTGTCTGGAAAACCAATTACACCATATTCTAAACTCGCTAGTACTAAGAAGTTTTTTACTAATGAATGAATCCTTCGTATTGGAATTAAGGCTTTGACTAGTTAAACATGTAGGAGTCACCTAAATGTAAATTAACTTGTCTTCGGCTCTGCAGCGTTTACCAGCTTCATCTGCAAACCTTTTAGCTGTTCTGAAAACCTATGCAACACCTGTTTAGTCTCTCCAAGTGCTGCTTCCATAGTGCGAAATCTTTTCTCTGCTTCATCTGCTGTGATTTGCAGCTGTTTTATTGTTTCTGACAATGGTACGTTGTCTTCTTCCTTTGTGAATTGCCTGCATTTGTAATCTGGTGTGCTTTGAGCACTCAACCAAGTTTGTTCCACATTCATTGTATCATCATAATACTCTTCAATCTTATTTGACTTAAGCAGCTGTAAAATATCCGGATCATTCCATGGTCCTTTATCGCTTAACATACATCCACCGTGATCAGAACACAAGCATTCTCCACCAAGGAAACTTGGCAAGTTACTTGGATCGATAGCCTCAACGAGTTTACTTCTGAAGTTAGTCCCTAAAACCTGCACATATTCTTATTAGTCCTGATGCATTGAAAACATGTTTCAGAACTTTTATTTTTTTGAACAATAATTTAATTTCCTGTAAAGTTAGCATTATTTTGCTTCTTTACCTATTTGAAAAGAACAATTTTTTTTAAAGAGCAAATGAACACCTGTATCTTTGCAGCAGTATGTGCATCAAGAAAAGTCTTCAAGGCCTTCCAAAGAGCGCGAAAACCAGACCCTGCATTGACAATGTAAAGGCTGTTCAGAGTATCCGGGTAGTAATTGCTGTCAATCTTTTGAAACTCCAAGAACAGATATCTTGCTTGTTTGGAGAAGCTTGAGATTCCAATCCCCTTCACATCTAGAATAGCCGTGGTAGAACCAATTCGCTTCCCTGCAGCAACTGTACAAGCAGGGTACCTCAATCGCGCTGTTTTTTCCTGCTCGTACACATGATGCTTCACCAGCCTATCAAGAGTTGTTCTCTGAAGAAGTCCCTCAAGGTCTAACATCCCCATCCTCTCAATATACACTGGCCTCCCACTTCTATCCACGCCATGATAACCATGAGGATAAAACTTTTGAACCTCTTTGTATTCCTCAAACTTAAACTCTTTAGCAATCGCGTCAACCCCAAACTCCTCCCTCCATTTCAGATGATTGAGAAATGATTCTTTGGCTTTCGAGATATCATAGTCTTTTGTGTGCAAAAACCTCAATAGAGTATGATAATCATATGGCTTCCTATCTGCCACAGGCTGTGCTTCCTGCCCACCCTGATCCTGAAGCAGTGCTTCGCGTAACTTTTGAACAGCTTGATCATCATTAGGATCATGGATATCCTCTATCGCATCACCTTTGTTCCTCCAAACTTTTTTGCCTAAACTTTGTAACACCTTAAAAGACGATGACATTTTTCTTGGACTACAACTACAACAACACAACTCATGGATCGCGCTCTTAGAATATCTGAACAATTTCTTAACCATAAGTAGCATAATTTTTTTTGCCTTAGATGGACCGCATAGAATATTTTGTGTTACCTAAATAGAGTATGTCTTCTTAGATTAACCTACCTACAGATTCCTGAAACCTTTTCCATACAATCCATAGTTGAATCCAAGTGCTAATGCTTTTTAAAGAGATCAGAAAATCAGAGAATCTTTGTTGCTGCTAACTAAAGGAACGTATGTTACATAGTTACATGTATCATAACATTCATGCTGTCATGTGGCCTGATATTGGTGAACCAGAAGCTGCACTGTTGTACTAGTGGCCTTAGCCGAACCGGCCGATTAGCTTGAATTGGGCCGTAGCTTCTTTCCTCATAGGATGTTTAAACCAAGCCAGGCCCATGTACTCGAAATTTGGGTTAATTGAAGAATTGTTAGTCTCTTTGAATGACTTCGTTATTGCTTCGGAATAATCTCTAACTTATTAACCTTTATATAGTCTTAACTTGAAAGTATTAAACTCTTATATCCATGATAATTTGTGTTCAAAACCTTTAATTTTTGGTGGGATATCATTATCAAGTCTCTTTTTAAAAAGTTTTCATCTTTTCATCTTTCACTAATATCAAGGGTAAATTGATTCATTAAGGCGCCAAAATTACCTTGAAATTGACTATAAATCAAAGTTCATGCATCTTTATTAAACAATTTTCAACTGCATAACAGTTCTTTATAAAATGGAAAAGCTTAAAGCTCTACATACAAGTGATACAAATAAAAGAGGTCCATACATCTACACTTCACATTAGCTTAAACAAAAAAGATCATGAATAAATTAAAAAGATCGAAATTTGGCTATTTCTAGCATAGAAAACCTTAAGTTTTGAAAACCCTAAAGAAAATTTGAAAAGAATGGTAACTAAGGACTTTTGAAATTTATTTAGTTACGTATCTAGCGTAAGGCTTTGTTGTTATTGTTGTTACGTATCTACCTATCAGGCCAATTACTCGGATAGGTATAACAAAGTGCAACCTTATGCCAAGTTGTACAATACTTTCATGAGCAAGAAAATATTCTTAGATTAATATAAGTAACCTACAATTCCATATAACAAATTAGTCCGTTGGAATTAAGGAGTGTTTAATGAATTTATTGTTTAAGCTAAACATCATTAACTCCATTGCCCTCAAATAACCTACAAACTGATTAGTATAATATGGAAACAATATATGAATAATTAGATCCTTACCTACTCTAGTATCATATTGGAATCTTATTCTTAATATATATCCCACTATACATAAAATATAAGGTTATGCATGTGCTATGATTTTATGGTCCACTATTATAATTTGCTACATTCTATATTTTTCTGAATTGACATTTTCTATGTAACACTCCCTTCCTGAATTGACATTATACTTGTATATGATATTCATTACACAAGCCACCGACACTAATGATGGATAAGGATTTAAGGAATGTAAATGATTTTTATTTACCCTACTTGCTGCTTCACTATCAAGTACAAGTACAATAATTATTGGCTTAGGTTGTACTAACTAAAAGAGAATTTCTACTAGACGTGCGTGTAAATAAGTCGAGCTGAGTTTGAATATTAGCCCCTGTTCATTTCACCTTAAATAAATAATATAAAATTAAAATAATTTCAGTTTAGTAAAAATAATTCCATTTCAGTAAAATTCAGTAATTATAAAGAAGAAATATAATAGAAAATCAGTAAAATAATTTCAATTCAGCAAAAATAATTTCAGTTCAGTAAAAATAATTCTAGTTTAGTAAAAATAATTTAAGTTCGGCAAAAATAATTTCAATTCATTAAAAACAATTTCAGTTTGGCAAAAATAAGGTGAAGTGAACGAGGGCTTACTCTATTTGTGTTAAATCATTTTTTTTTTTTTGTGTTAAATCATTTAATACAGACTAGTTAGAATTGAGCTTCTGAAGTGATCAAGCTCAATAAGTTAATTAAACTTTTAGTTTAAATTAAATAACCAACCAATTGAACTCTAAATGATCTTCAAAATTGAAAAAAAAATTAAAAAAAAAAATCTATTTAATTTGTTCTTTATCAACATAGGTAATGAATGAAGCAATAATGTAATTTGAACTAGTAGATATTACGAGGATGTAATTATATATGACTAGAATAATACGGAGTATAATATTAATATATGGGGCATTAAAAAAAGGGAAATACATTAATTGATCATTATTCCCTCACATCTTAAAAAGAAAACACCACCCTAGCTACTAACAGTCTTAACATATTGCATTCATTACATGAAACTATGAAAGCAAATAAGCTTACAATATGATGGCATATGCAATCATTAAGATCACTATACCACTATATATAGAGCTAAAATGATTAAACACCATTTTATTCTAATACTTAATTATCACATATTAGCAACATTAATCCATGCATAACAAGGATTAATATATAGTTGATGATGATGATCTAATGAAGCTTGTTTACAACACTACATTGCTTTCTAATCTCACCCTTGGAGCCAGTAAGTGGGTTATTCTCAGACAAAATGGTTAGTGCCCTTGAAAATTCCTTGAAGAAGTAGTCTTGGTTTTTAGCCATTTTAACCACATATGGTCTAGTCCTCTTGTCTGTGGCTAGTTGATGGTCCACAATGAGTAAACCCTTGCTGTCCAATATGTTCCGGTAGTAGTTGTTGTCGAAAATCATAGGGGTACCGCGGTCATTTCTCACGTATTGGACCGCCTTCGGGTCTGGAATCGGGTCATAACATTTCTTTAGCATGTGGGGTACGTGGTCCGGGTTCAAGTTTGGGTCGACTTCTGGGTACAGCCTGTGGACCAGCTTTGTACAATGGGTTCTGCCCACACTATGAGCACCTGTTGAAGGTTAAATTAAATAATTATTAACTACCAACTTTAGTTGGTTTACTAATTTTTTTGGTTAAGGTTCATTGTCTTAGCATTAATTATTTTTATTAGGGTTGTGGCCCTTGTGGGTTCATAATTACACCTTAATTATCCAAAAGAAAGTACTTAATCAATGGTTGTGATTAAGAAGTTTATTAATCAAAGTAATTAGTAGTATTATATTCATTAGACAATTTTGGTAAATGGATTGAAATCTTGGAATAGAAGGTCAAAAAAACTTTGCTGGATGTCACTTACAAGACTCAAAAGTAAAGTTTGAGTGGAATATATATTCAAAAGTAAATTAAAACTTGAGTAGATAAAAGAAGAATATTAAATTGAATTACTTGAACACTTTGTGATGGTATCTTTGGAGAAGTGAAAATGAGATGATGAGATTCATGTGATAAACCCCACATACATAGTTACTTTGCTTTGTCTATATGCATATTGAAAACTACTTTTGTTTTCAAAATTGGTGAGATTATTTGAAAAAAATGTTTCAAGTAATTTGTCATAAATGAGATTTGAAATCTGCGTACAAGATTACTCAAAAATATTAATTTGAAAATTATAACAACCAACTAAACTACGAAGTACTCGTAGTTGACACTTACATATGTACTCTATTATTGTGATGATCAGTGTATGACATAGTAAATATATGATCATAAAATTATCTCATATATGTCATGTGAGAACGGTTGTATGTATAAGCATATATTAAGATGTATGTATGTATGTAAGGACAAGCATGTAAACAAGAAATGATGAATAAAGTTACCTAGCAAAGCAACAACTCCCTTAGAGTCAATCCCAATAGACTTAAACCTATCAAGCACCATACTCATACTCTCATTGTGGTCTGGGAGATATTGCTCCAATATCTCTGCTCTGCTCCTTCTTCCATCCCTCCTTCCAGTTTTCAGAGGAATGTGGGGTCCTCCTAACTGGAAAAAAAAAAGAAAAAATGAAATTAACATCGATTAATCTTCTTGTTAGACTTAGACACGCCTAGTGCGAGTTATTTTAAACAAAAAATGAAGGGTAATTACCTGAACAATGCCGTCTCTAGCGGATAAAACAAGAATATCAGCACAAGAAACAACGCCAGGACACTCTCTTTCAATAGCCTCCTTGATGGTGTCAAGGTACCTAAAGTTTCTTAACCCAAAGCTCCTGTCCATTTCCTTCTCTGACATCATCCTCCTTGTTGAATCCAGCAGCAATGACGCATCACATGACTAACATACATACATAGCCTAAATTAATAAATTTAATTATCTTAATCTCATAAAGTATTTATAATTCTTCAAAGATAAATTAGCTTAGATTCTCTCAAGCGCACTTTAAAGCTCAAAAAATAATTAAATTAGTAAACTTCCAATTATATCTTTTTTGACTTTTTTTTTTTTTTTTTTTTTTTTTTGACATTGATTTTTTTGACTTGTTACATGTTAATACTTCATCTTATGTTCTTTTCAACCTTTTATTATGATCAAATTCTAACTTAAATATGGATGTTTTAATATTTCATAATTTCAACCTTCATGCCTCTTTTTTTTTCTTTTTTTTTTTTCCTTTTTTTTTGCCTCCAGATTTGCAAAGAAGGTTCAATACTAGAGGATGTATGGGTAAAGTTCAGGTTTGGTTTCAGAGCAATTTTAGGTTATGCTCAAACTGTCAAAACAAATATGTAAAATGCATGATAAAATATGATAAATGGAACAAATTCGAGCTGTTTAAACTTAGCATTAGCTCTAGTTCACTAGCTTCAGTTCAAGTTCAGATCATGTCATCGAGTCAAACTACAGATCACTAACTCTACAAAAAAAACTACCCCAAACATCCAGTACGACAATTAAGTTAATAGACATCCACATACATTGTTCAAGTCCAAGTTATAAACTTCTACACACATACATCACTAGTTAAGTCATACATGTAACAACCTTTTGTACAGTATGTGAATAGTGTGAAAGTAAAAGTGTTTCATCTAATAAAACCGAGGAAGTATAAGTTAGTTACCTCAACAGCACAGTCATGGAAGATATTCCTAAGCCAAGAGAAAGCAGTATTTTTATGGCGTTTGTAAAGAAGCTTGACTTGTTCTTTGATGATATCTTCAGCTTGAGGACAAGTGTCCTTGTAGTAATTCATAACAAGCCCAACAACTTTTTCTTCCTCATTATTTTCTGCAAATGCTGCTGAGAAAGATAACACAACAACTATGAACACAAACAACAAAGTTTTGAATCCCATTTTTTTTCTCTCTATCTTTAGTTTTTGGTTTTGTTGCCCCACTTTTCTGAATTCTTGTACACCTTTGTTACTCCTTAAATAAGGGAACTATGTGATCGAGTAAGTGATAAGCTATTGTTACTAGTGGCCACTTGGCATCAATGTATGCAATAATTAACACGGGTGCAAGATTACTTCATACTTCATCTGTTCCATATATTAGCTGTCGTTTTGGCTATTCGAAAAACAAAACTTCATCTACGTAGTATAATTTGTCTCAAAATATTTTGATAAATTATTAATTATATGTTCATGTCAATGTATGCAACTATAAATTTATATAAATGCTACTTCCATACAAAGTTCATTTTTGAAAATACGTGTATTATTAACTAAATTATTTGGTAATTTTTCACTTTCCTGCAGTGAACATCAGCTTTGGATCCCACCTTACTAACTTTGAATTTTCTAGTAATTATGTATTTAATTTATTTGGTTATTATAATGTTGCTTGTTTTGGGAGTTATGGATTGATGGACAGATGGATGGATGCATTCATATGAAATTTATACAAATAATAAGTTTGAACCTTGTGAATTGTGAACAATTGTTATTAAAAACAAGTGGTATAATAATTTGGACTTTTAACAGTAACCCAGAAATGCAGTATATAATTTTGTTTACAAGTAGGCCTAACATACATTTTTTAAATCATGTTAAAAAAACAATGCAATCAGACATATACACCATAAAATTTGGCATGTCACTAAATTTAGCCATTGATAAATGAGGACAATAACAGAATGCAACTAAATATAATGAGGAATTCAATGCTATAGTCCATTATTCTTGTCATAGTGAATTGGGAAATCGTTGTCCCTAGTGATTTTAGTGATTCTATACCTTTAGTTCATTGTTCAGTTGACTAGAGCTTGCAAAATTGATCCAACGCGAACAAATTTCTAATTGAATTATCTGATTTTAACCTGAGCCGATATCAAAGCAACACAACCCGACCTAAAATTAATTGATTTATATGAAAAAGTACAGAATAATTAACTCAATATATTGCCCATGCCTCAACCGAAACCAAACTGAATACAGAGTAATTCTTCTCTAATGACTTGAATCGAAATCACATCCAAACGACTTGTTTTCCACCTTCATGCTTGGACCATTTCATTATCTGTTTCAACTTCTTTTGTTTTATAAGTTTTTTTTTTTGGGTGGGCCAGCTATATGTCCAAGCAGCAGTATTCAGATTATTCAGTTATTCACCAATCAGAAAATGAACTCAAATTTCAAACATTTGCTATGCAGGTTTTCTTTCCAAAACCCAAGGCCAAATCTCTCCCTTGAACTTTTATGTTCTACCATGTTAAGAAGTTCTACAAATTAATGAAGATTACTGGAATACAAGCACATTAATTGTCTATAACCAATCAAATCCAACAAAATTTTACCTGAGCTTGAGCTCAACTATGAGTTAAGCTACAAAAAAGCGACTAACATAGCAAATGTCGTTTAAAATGCATAATAGCATGTATCCTTACATACTTCATTGTAAAATGTAACCCAGTTCTGATTCCATAAGAGCCTGTGACTGCGATTAGCGAGTTGGTAGTACAGCAGACTCAGATTTATGTTTAACAATTCCAAAATGGTACCAACATCTGAATTTCTTCATTTTAGAATTTGTTCACATCTTACATCAGCGACAAGATGACGGATATGAGGGGCATACCACTTCACTCTCTCCAAATGCACCACCGACACATTCCAACAGCGACCTGTATAAGACATGTTCGAAGTCATTACAGTTTGGCAAGTCGGAGGCTTAAAATATTTCAACCTTTTTCAGTGCAGCAATTAATTTGAGAGTTAAGTAGCATAAAGAAGGGAAAAGAAGAAACAAGTTTGCCACAAGAATACAAGATACCTTCAGATTTCGCAATTTCAGAGATAGAGTCCATGATATGTAGAGTCCACTGACTCTCCTCTGAGTCCTTCACATTCCCATGTATGTGAAGTGTGCCACCCTCACACCTACCATCCAAATCCAAGTCAATCATGTATTAGATTATGTAAAGAACATCGAGGAAACTCAAAAATGGACATATATAGATGTACTATCTCCTTCTGTCTACCTAGTAGCTACTCCCTCTATCCATACATAACAGAGTACAAACCATAACAGTCATCTTACTGACTAGGCGCCTACCGATATAGTAATGATATCCACACCCTAAACCAAAACAGTGTCCAGCGATTGACATACATTGGAATATCGTATTGGTAAAGTTGCAAAACTTATAAATAGAGTTGGATTATAACTTGTTAATAATGGTGTTTCTAATTTTATTCCTTCAAATGACCCCCAATAAGATGTTGCCTATTATTTAGGCCTTTTAAGGTTGGAATCAGATTTTACTTCTACTAAAAAAAATAGCATAGAAGTTAAGTGAGATGGCGAAATGCTTGAAATGAACAACAAGGTGAGACAAGATAGTCATATTCTGTTGTGATGCGCATGTTGATTTTACAAATTAAAAGAAAAGGTCATCCAGATTAATTACCTTAATGCCCTTACAGCAGTAACCCAACTGCCCTCGCTAGATGGTAGGAGACCAAGACAGACACGATTAGCAACTCCCTGTAAAATTGGAAGGATGAATAATCAATCAACATCAGCAACAGCTTCAACAAAAGAAATTACTTTTAAAGTTTCAATTGCTGCAGAAAATGGATCCCCAATGCTGAGCAAACTACACAACCCCAATATACCTATCTGTTATCAAAATTTGACAGCTACTATGAAATATTATCAGCATCAGAATGCTCAGCATAACCAAACTAGAAACATAAGATAAATCATGAAAGGGTTCATTAACACTAAAACAACTCATGAAAATCAATATTAGTAGATGTAGATGATCAAAGGGCTCATAAACACTAACATATCATGTGAATATCTATAATAGCAGATGTATGATTTACAAAGATAATCAAACAAAGAAAGGGCCATACTTTAGGAGCTGTAAGACGATTATCTCCTTCGAGTACAATGCAACGATCAGAAACCAAATTGACTTGAAGATTATGATGAAGAGCCTCAACAGCATGGGGATTCCACTCACAGGCATAAACCAATGTAGCATTACCTCTGATCGACCAAGAGTAGGAAATTATTCAGTATCAATGTATTATAATTTAAAGGTAAAGCACAATCTATAACTATATTAAAACAGAGGGCGAAGCTCCACGTGTCACCTTGATATTAAAAGTTTTCGTTGGATACCTCATCACAAATGCAAGTGAATATAACAAAAAAGTACAGAGGTAGTATAAAACAAATACTAAAATTTTTTACCCAATTACTGGTTCATAATTTTAAGTAGGGATGGCAATTGGGCGGCACTGTTGCGGGTACCCCCTCCCCCGTATCCGCATATGTCAAAAAAAATTTATACCTGTGATCTACCCCCTACCCGCGATGGGTAAAATTTTAACACCCACACCCGCCTAAGCGGGAGACCTACATCCGATCCACCACCCATGTGGATATCCACTACCTGGCCGCCTTTTATCCGCTAACCTAACAACATTTGTTTGATAAATTTCCTATAGAACATGTCATTATGCTATCTCTAAATTGTTGTAAATACATAATTTAATAATATATTATACAAGTAGTCAATTGGTATAAAAGTAGTCCTTCATCATTACAAATACAAAACGAATTACATAAAAAATTAGCGGTAGTAAATTAGTAATAAGTTGGCAGGTCACTGGCGGGTAGGCGGGTATGACATCAAATCCACCGCTTACCCGCCAAAGTTGAACCCATAACTGCTCCAACTGGGACGGGTGCGGTGCGGGACTCGCATTTTTTTAGCCACCTGCCATCCCTAATTTTAAGTCTATAATTAATTTAATAGGTAAAATAATAGTAGAATAATGATGTAAATACCAACGTTAAATCATGCTATGATATTTGTAGGAGCTATATATGTTAGAGCGTAACTTTTGATTTCCACTTCATCATTATTATTAAAAAATTGATTTGATAAATAAATTATACATATGAACTTATTATACCGTGCAATTGCACGGGTACTATACTAGTTACTACTATTATAAAGTAAAGAGACAAAGCACAAAAATCACTCTTCAAAGAGTTAGAATTCAATGCTAATACCATGACCAACTTGTATGACCCTCTTAAAAGATCTGGTTCTAAGCCATACACGACAAATAAAGTTTGCCATTGATTTCAAAGTTCTGATAGTCAAATTTATAGAAAGTTCTCATATTTGAAATTTGCCACATTGCAAGCTGTCATGATTAAATAAACCCCCATTCTTTTTTATTAAACTAGGCCCAACAAGGAGGGAAATTTGGGAAGCCCCTAATAATTCTACTAATGAGAAGTATGACGTAGCAAGTTAGCTAACTAAAGGAAAGGAAATATCAGAGATGTAATTAAAAGAGGTGGGGACTAGAGAGGCAATTCGTTCAGAAAGTGTGTTTGTATTTTTGCCTTTTGGAACTTGGGAGTGATGCCAGGTCCCCTGGGCACTTGAATTAGGTGGATGTAATCAAAACCCTCTAAAAATTTCTCAATCTTACTTCTCGGTCTTCACTGATTAGCAAATTTCCAGTTTATTACACATAAGTATCATTCTTTTTCAGTACCACTCTTCTCATTACTAATGCAAAAATCTCAGGTTGTTGATTAAGACCAACCCTACAATCTCATGACATAGAATATAGATTTGTCAAAGAAATTGTGTACATACACTTACAGTCCACAGGGGACTAGGGGAGCACAGAACTGATTCAAGCATATTTCAAACAAGGTTTTATCCTGTTAGAAAATAAATCAATAGCTCCAATCTTAGAAGAACTCACATAGACATGTTGTATACATGTGTCAAGTTAGGAAATCCAAGAATACCTTACAAGAAAAGGCAAGGTAAAATATCCAATTCCCGCAAAAAGATCCACAATAACTTCGCCTCTACAATCCACACGGGCCATGCGAAGTTTCTCTGAAAGATTTCCCCAGGAGAACATGCATTTTGTGGTATCAAAACAATATGCTATACCATTTTCGCGATGTTCAACCCAACCATTATCTCCAATGAGGATCTCTAGACGACTGTCCCGTGTTCCAGTTGAAGCAACACGACCCTGTAACAACATGTATGAGCATTGAGTTACAGCAGGAAACTAGTAATAGGAGAGATGACATTACCACAGTGGTACAGCAGCATAGTACTGCAGTGGCATTATAAAACAATTTGTCGGTAACTTCCACTGTATGTGACCTATGGCAGAATCTAATTACAATTTGTCTAATCAAATTTTTGTATCAGGAAACTCTTGGCAACTTTAATGTAAACACAACTCGTGGTTATAAATTACGTAGTGTACCTGGCGAGCAAGACGACGAGCACCAAGAGTTTGAGCAACAGCAGACCAAAGCTCGCTACCTATTGTGTCCCATGCAGGATCTCTGAAGGAAGTGATAGGAAGGACAACAACGTCACCAAGCCGCTCCCACCTAAAGAAAAGGTACACCTAATTTCAGTTAAGATCATGCAAACAAAGACATGTCAACATATAAAGCTATGTTCATCCAACCACTATCCTTGACGAACTATTTCCTATATAGCTGCCTAGATAAAGATTTCTCTGGAATACGGAAACTTACCTCCCCCCCCCCCCCCCACACACACACAAAAAGAAAAGAAAAGAAAAGAAAAGAAAAAACAAAAAGAAAAAAAAAAACAGCTTTAAGATTACAAAAGCTGAAGAGAAACCTGGTTGGTAGCTGCTCCAACAGCCCTTCAGATAGGGATTTTTGCTTCAGTAGCAAAGCCACAGCTTCCTTCATTGCTTCCAAGGGAGATATAGAGGCTTTCTTCATTGCAACTACCTCATCAACGTGCTTAGTGGCACCACAAGCCACTAGAAAATCCAAGGCAGAAGCAGAGGAATCAAGAATATTCTTTGACATATTAAGGTCACTCAATCCTTCAGCTATCCCTCTTTTTTGGGATAGCTCATCAGAGAATATAACACTGAACTTTACAGTAACAGGGAAATATATATAAGATCCATCTTCATGGGAATACACCTTTCGACCAAGGTCTAGCCAACCAAATTTCTTAAGTACGTCCTTTCCCAATTTAGCATACCTTTTTTGCAGTTTCAGTACCCAATACGAAGTCTTAGTCACGTGTCCAACATCACTACAAGGTGCTTTGTCCACATTCGAGTTAGTACCCAAATCAGATGGTTGTACACATACATCAGGAAGTGAACCAAAATTATTCTTTGTTCTCTCAACGGAATCTTCATACCGGGGTGTGCTCTGTTTCTCTTTAGACAAAGAAGACACAGTAGCATCATTGAAATTTAACAATGATAGCAAGTTGATCATTGATGGCTCACTGAATTTCGTACCGAATGCATAACAGGATGCTCCACCACCTATCATAATCAGATCATCACTGACAACGTTGGCAGTATTTCGAACAAACAATTGCTTGCCTATTGAATTCAAGATCACCTGCTTCCATGAGAAAGACTTTAGGTCAAGCAAGGACAACTCTTCGCAATGCTGTCTGACAGGACAACCACCAACAATTCCCAAATAATCTTTATACACAAACATTGAGTGTGAAAACCTTGGATAAGGACCTTTTCCAACTGTTTTTACTTTTGCCCATTGACTATCATGGATATCAAAACTATAAAGGTCCCCCAATGCTCTCTCACCATTGTATCCACCAAACAGAAACAATTTATTGCCATAAGCAACCAATGAATGTGAATGCCGAGCACAGGGCAATTCTCCACTTGCTTGTACCTCCTTCCATTTCAATGTATCCACATCCAACACAGCTAAGGAAGAATACAATGTGTTGTTATTAAGTCCACCGAATATGTAAATATTTGAACCTACAACAGCAGCTGCATGACGATGCCTGCACAAAAATTTACATCATTAGCTAATCTGTCAAATGAAAAATGTCCTTTAAAAGCAACATCTACTAGAGCACTATCAGTAGTTGGTATCATCACCTTGGAGCAAACACATCACCAGTGTTGCCTACCAATTTCCATTCAGCTTTCATGATATCGAAGATCCATAACTCATCCAGAATATTGGTAGGATCAGCTCTGCCTCCAATAACAATCATTGAACCTCCAACTAATGAAGATGTATGACCCATACGCGGAGAGGGAGAGCCCTTAACATCTAGCACAGACAATCTGCCTGACGATAAATCCAGCAATAAAAAGTCACTTCTACGTGCATGCCTACCTATGCCTCCAAAACCACCATATATCAGAATCTCTTTGCAATCAGCATTACAGATTGTACAAGAAGAATGACCCCATAGTAACAGCCTCTCTATGCTTTCTCCGACAATTTTAATGGGTACAATGGCTAGACTGGAACCAGAACTTCCCAGTGGCCCTGCCAATGATTCAAAAATTTCAGACTAGCTCTCTTAGGGGAGAAAAAGATATCCTGCAACCATCAATAGTTGATTGTCATAATAACACTCAGAAGTCAGACCAACATAATTACAGATAAAAATGCAACAAGAGGGGGTATGATTTGGACCAACACTATTACAGTTTCTGTCTTACATCCATTTACTTCCTGGTGATGAAAAAGATGAGAATGATAATATGATAGTATAGAGTGTCTTAATGATAGGAGATAGGACTGTTTTCTTATACACCCAAAATAATGGACCAAAAAGCAACCATCTATTTTCATTCCCTCAATTCAACAAAGTTCAATTCCACCTCCCTCAACTGTAAAGATTTGGATTGTATTGCCATATTCCCGGGATATAATTCTGAAAATTGAGTACAACTTTTATTACCATTCACCCATGATGTACCCACGATTTATTCCTTGTACCATTCACCTATGAGTTACTTCCTTGTACCACATTAATTGACAGAGTATTCAACTACGAAGTACTAGACATTTGCATAAATTTCACCTAATCACATATTCTTTTGCTCTTTAAGTATAGAAAGAAAAGTCCTACAGCAAATCTATGATGTGCAAAAGGAACAAAGCATTCAAATTAGAGGTAAAACTAATAATTTGCCTTCGTAGAGATACAATACAAATTCTTCCATTGAGCTCAAGATGTCCCAAAAGAAATCTGATTGGCTTTTAGTTTTTCCAAAGGTGAAAGTTGGACAATCAACACCCTCCAACAAATCCAAGGTGCTTCACAAGGAGAAAGCTCCTCATGCTCACTTCCTCTCCTCCTCATCATCCTCTTATAACAAGTAAGCTCACTCATACATTATATAGTCGAGGATCATCTGCAAACTCCATTCTATACTTTCAACTTTGTAAGAAATTAGATTATTAGAGTCTATAGCAGTATAGCCTAATATCAAATTTCATAACTTTGCTACTACTACTGGCAAACACACCCAAATATTACAAGATACATGAATAACATGAACAAACCCCATGAACAAAACATTAGCATTGTGCTAACTTATGAAATCTAACGCACAAAATGAGCATTTTAATCAGCATAAAATCATTCAGACAAGCAAATCACATGAAACAAAGCACGATTTACACACATCAAATCAGCCTCCAAACTAAAACTAAAAGCAAAATGAACACAAAATTACCAGAATCTCTCTGAAAATTAGTCCCTTCTTGATTGACACCAACCCATTTCTCCTCTTCCCAAATTGCACCATCACCATCATCAGCACCACCACTCAACCCCACAAACCCGTCCCCGGCTTCGGCTTCGGCTTCCACATCACTAGGCCCCACAAACCCATTCTTCCTTAAACCCTCCAAAAACCCTTGAGTCCTCTTCCAATTAGCTCCCATCTTATCATTAGCAATCTCCACAAGATACCTCAAATACTCAGGAGACACCATAATCCTCCCTTTACACCCTAAAGGAACTTCCAACCTAATTGAACATCGAATTGCAACAATCACCCTCTTACTACTCACACTAGTAATCCCAGATTCCCTGAACCCACGAGATATAGCCAATGCCACCAAGAACTGAGCCGCACCCACGTCCTTACACTCCACCGCAATGATCAGGGGCTCGAACCGGAACACCAACTCGGACTGAGTCGACTCGGGCGAGTCAGCAGACTCGGTGGCGGGGGTTGAAGAGGGAGGGAAGATGAGGTTGAGGATCGAAGTGGGGTCCACTGGGTCGTGGGAGATGAAGGCCCAGGTGCCCCCTTTGGGCTTGTCTGGGAGGTGTGAGAAAATGGAGATGCGACCGGAGCAAGAGGAGGTGGTGTAGTATGAAGGGTGGTTGTTAATGGTGTTGAGGAGAGGTATGATTGGTGCGTCGATTGTTCCTTTGGGAGATTTGTCTAATTCTGTTGATGATATTGCCGCCATTGTTGCGGCTTTCCTCTTCTCAAACTCCATTTTTTTTTCACTCTTTTGCTCGCTCGCAGACGGCAGTCACACACGCGCACCTTTGTAAACAAAACAGTCGATAGAAGAACTCACTGTTAAGAGGGCAAATGGCCAAATGGGTTGTTTAGGTTAGAGTAGACTAGTAGAGTAATAGACCAAGTGATACAAGTCTAACCAATACCAACTGATCAGTTTGGGTTTGGGTTTGGGTTTGGGTTGGTGTTCGACCATTTTTTAAAGGTTTTGGGTTGACTATAATAGACTTTTGCAATTACTTTAGTTTTAAGCTGTTTGGATATTTTCGGATTTTTCGACGGTAAATTTGATGAGGTTCGACTCTCAAGGCTTGGGTTAGCGGACGGTTGTTTGTAATTAAGAGGAATTGTCAAAAAATAAACAGGATGGTGAGCTATATAGATAGAGGATGAGTGTACACAATTGCTCATATCTAGTTTATATCTGATTATAGAATTGCAATTATTAACGGTGATGTACAAAGATAGTATAAGGAGTACTCCCTCTGTCCCAGAATATCTGGGACGTTAATTTTTTACTAACATAATAAAACATATTTAATCATAAAATATGTTGTTAGATAACTATTAATATAAAGTTTTATAATATAATTTTTAAAATAATTTTCATTAATATTTAATTATATAAAAATATAGTCAAACTAACATGTGTGTAAAGTTGATTGTGTCAGATATTTTGGGACAAAAGGTGTATTATAAACATAAGATCTTTGTCGAAGCTTGTTCTAGCTTCTACACTCCTATGACTGTAGCTATTTTTCAAAAGATTTGGCGTTATTCATACATCGTTTGAATGAAAAAAAAAAAATTACTTTATATATATATGAAAAGTTAAGAGTAAAATGATTAATTACCTCTCTCTTACTTATTTTCTTCCAATATTCATGAACGTCCTCTAAATGTTTGCTTAAGCATTTCCGTTTGCTTATAATTTGTAGAACAATTGATGAATGGGCCTACAATAATTGTTCCTTGAAGAGTTGAAGACACTCTTAGTTTTAAAATGGCCCATTGTTGGTGTAAGCCCAATTGTTTAAGGTTAACAATTTATGAATAGCATCATTTTTCCCTATTGAAGAGGCAAAATCAATTACTAGCAACATGTCCCTCCAAATGAATCACTGGCTTATGGTCGCATATTCCCTTCGTTAAATTCCTAGAGTGGGGACAATGGAATACATATTTGATATATGTTGTCCAAAATGCTAAATACCACACATTTCACAACTTGAGACTTGAGACTTGTGACTTGTGAATTGTTAGTCTATGACCTTCTATATTATGATTAGCCAATTGTAGCACTTATGAGTTTATAAAAGTAGGTAATTGTATTAAAAATCAACATTAGTCTCATTTTATCATATTGATTATTCTTGATATTGTATGTCTCCTTTAAGTATTTTCCAAATACACTGAATACTTATCGAGACTTGTGCTTTACGTCCTACTCTTTTCATCTTGTTTTCACTTATTTTAGCAAATATAAGTTCAGATGAGATAAGTTCAAGAAAAATTAGTGTTAATTATTTCAAATAAGTTCATGTAACTTCAAGTTGATTCCAACAAGTGAAAAGTATGTGAATAAAACACATCCTTATAAGCTAAATACAATTTTCATGGTGTACAACAAAGAACCAAGTATTACAAGGAAAATAAAGATGACCTAACCCACAATTGAATATTTTACTTGTACTTTTTCCGTTTCTTTATACTTGCAATGCACACTTTTTTCATGGTATTTAAGAAAAGTGGGGCTCATATGATTTAATATACTTAAAATGAGGGTGAGAGATGATTAGGAGTATAATTTAGTGGGCCATGAGATTAAAATAAGGGTAATAGTAGAACTTTTAACAAAAAAAAAAAAAATCTCTCTAATTGTAGTGTGTTGCAAGTATTGTGACATTTCCATTTAAAGGAAGTGTTGCAAGTATAAAAAACAGAGGAAGTATATGATAGTGACTTGACCTATAAGCTACGCAATAAGATTTTTTTTTTTTAGCTAGTTTCTCAACATGGTTAAGTTAGTGGGCTAAACAATTTAATAGAGTACAGAGAAAATAAGAGAATCCCCTCCCTAAATTATATTTAACGAGTAATAAATTTCCAGCCTCTTGTTTAAAAGATGATCTCATTTCCACTACATTAATCTTAACTTTAACTTTGTTTTGAGCCCCCAAATTAATAAATCTATTACACTATTACACAGCATGTATATTTTGCTTAGATTATAATGTAGTACTCATACTATAAACCACATCAAAAAAAAAAAAAAAAATTCCAAGTTAAAAAAGAAAATCCAAATTTACCTCCAAAATTCAACGGTTGAAATCTCCCTCCTTATCCACACCAAAACAAAAACCTCATCCAATCCTTCCTCCCCTCCACCTCTCATTCCCTTCCTTTCTTCCACATCACACCCTCTCTTAGATAAGATTTCTCACCTTTTCTTCTTCTCCTAAGCTAACTCCATTCTTAGCTTAGCTTTGAGAGATCAATCAAACCTCAAAAAATCCAAAAAAAAAAAAAAAAATAATAATAATCACACCAAACAATGGCCTGTTCTCTTTCCTTTAGCTCCTCAGTGAGCAGCTTCCACCTCTCCACCACCACTCAATCCACCCAAGCACCACCCCCTTCCAACGCATCAATTCCCAACACCTGCCCTATCCAATGCAGCAACCTCCGCGAGCTCCGCGACCGCATAGGATCAGTTAAGAACACCCAAAAGATCACCGAAGCAATGAAGCTCGTGGCGGCCGCTAAGGTCCGTCGTGCTCAGGAAGCCGTCGTAAACGGACGTCCCTTCTCGGAGACCCTCGTCGAGGTTCTGTACAACATAAACGAGCAACTGCAAACCGACGACATCGACGTGCCTCTGACGAGGGTCCGCCCTGTAAAGAAGGTAGCTCTAATGGTAGTCACAGGAGACCGTGGCCTCTGCGGGGGGTTCAACAACATGTTGCTTAAAAAAGCCGAGGCTCGTATCGCCGAGCTTAAGGATTTAGGTGTGGATTATACTATCATCAGTGTTGGTAAGAAAGGAAATACGTACTTCGTTCGTAGACCAAACATACCCGTTGATAGGTACTTCGACGGCAGTAATCTGCCTACTGCTAAAGAAGCACAGGCAATAGCAGACGATGTATTTTCCCTGTTTATAAGCGAGGAAGTCGATAAGGTTGAGATGTTATATACTAAATTCGTATCGTTAGTGAAATCTGATCCTGTAATCCACACACTTTTGCCGCTCTCTCCTAAGGGAGAGATCTGCGACATCAATGGAAAGTGTGTGGATGCTGCTGAAGACGAGCTGTTTCGTCTGACGACGAAAGAGGGAAAACTGACGGTGGAGATGGATACAGTGAAAACAGAAACTCTTTCGTTTTCGCCGATTCTTGAGTTTGAGCAGGATCCTGCACAAATCTTGGATGCTTTGCTGCCTTTGTATCTTAACAGTCAGATTCTGAGGGCGTTGCAGGAGTCGCTTGCTAGCGAGCTCGCTGCGAGGATGACTGCTATGAGTAATGCATCTGATAATGCTAGTGATTTAAGGAAATCGCTGTCTGTTGTTTATAATAGAGTGCGTCAGGCTAAGATTACTGGCGAGATCTTGGAGATTGTTGCTGGTGCTAATGCCTTGGTTTGAGTTGGTTGTTTTACAATATGGTCTGTTTTTTTGTTCTTATTATTCTTATTTTTGGAAAGAACTATGGCTATTATTGTTGGTATAATTACTATAAATATGGATACTCGTATTAATATTATGTATTTATGTTTTGGTGATGATTCTAATGAACAGAGGTATCAAGTGCAGAGGAGATTAATTAGATCATATTGATTTGTAATTACGTTTCATAATTTATATAGTAACAAATTTCACAACCTTTGTGATAACACATTATTAAGAGCTAGTTCCTTTTATAGTTGTAACCTTGTTTTTGAAACGTGTTTGCCATATGATTAGCTTGATTGATATATACATTGATGCTCTCGAGGAATAACCAATAGGTTTCCGATTATACTACATAATCGGTTGGGATTAGGCCATTTCAGGAATAAAATTGGATTGTATTAGTGATTGAAAGGTACTCTAAGTAGATTATGCCTACTTATAGGAGTCATAACTAACAATTACTCTGTAAATGGATACTAATTATATTGAATACTTGACACAAATTAGCATGTTTTATTACAGATGTTGCATTAGAATGATTGCTAAGTTCAATTACATGCTTAAATGTTAAAAAACTTGATCACTCTATAGGCATTATAGGTGCTTATTCCACCAAGAAGCTGAGATTGTCAAGATATTAAGGCAAGATCAATATTAAAGCAAGCTCATTAGACTTTGTGCAATAAATCATACTTACTTATTTGATCCCCTCTCTAAAGTAACTGTTTAATCGCAGCTAAAAGGATTATCGAAAACAAATCCGACATACCATTGTAAGCTTCCTCAAGATTGAATAGAGTTATGACAAGACTAAGATTGAATAGATCGGATTGATGAGATCGTGGAAGTGAGCTTTGAACTGATCTTTAGCTTGTTCAAGCAAGCAAAACTAGACAGTAAACACACATTGACACATACACCTTACAAGTGTTCTTGTAAACCATAGCTAATGATCAACCGATCAGGCATTCGAGCTCATAGCAATCGTAACACATATCAAGACGAATGAACAAATCATTGAAGCACGAACATAAACCCAATGAAACCAAGATCTAATTAACCAAGTCAATTAAGTAATTAACCATCACAACCCAAAATTTAACTATTAAAAGCTTATTGAAGTCTATTAATAATTACATCTATTATAACCCTAACAATCGGATCACAAGGTACAAAACATTAGATGAACAATAATTTCCTCAATCCAATTTCGCCGCCAAAATTGAAACCGCCCAATTCTTTACCAATCAATCAATGCAAGCAAAACAACCTTGGATCGAAAATTAAACAAAAAATAAAGAGCCACAATTGCTAATTACACCATTTCATTATCATTATTACTCCGTATTATTATTAATCAACTCAAAATCAAACAGTATAACAATTATGTATCAAGATTCTACAAAATTAATTGCAACTGTAACATTATTCAACTCAACAATTAACACTTTTTTCTTTGTTACATAATTTAACACTTCCCGTTATACAATCAACTCAAACTAAACCCAAAAAAAATGTTAGGATGGAGAAGGGGTGAAAATTGGGGCAACAGCGGCGAGCTTTTTACGACCGAGACAGCGAGAGCGGCGAGGAGAGAGAGGGAAGAAAGGAATCCCAACCTCCAATTCAATAGAACCATTCGGGTTCGGGTTGGAATCGGGTGTGGTAGGGTGTATGTGAGTGTTAGTGAGGAGGAGGAGAGAGAAACATATCTGGGAGCGTCTGATGGTGGTGAGTTTAGTATCTCTCATCTGGGCTAGCGCTCCTGGTCTTAGATATCTGCTATACGACGACGATGGGGATGATGAGGATGGTCTCATTTTCATGGAGGGTAGAGAGAGAAAGAGGGGTGGAAATTGGAGGAGAGAGAAAGATGGGGCGGGTGAGATTTGGAGGAGAGAGAGAGTGAAAGGAAGGAAGGAGGGTTTAAAGGAGAGGGATGGAGGTTGGGAGGCGGGAAAATGGTTTGAGGGGATGATAAAGGCGGGATTAGGGTTTCAACTTTTTTGAACTAACCACTCCTTTCATGTGTTTACCTGAGTAATTAATCATGAAATTATACTTGTATTACTTGTATGTTATCGGCTTATCGCTTAAATAAATAAATTAGGGACATTGTTATTTATTGTCACAATTGATACTTATGAGTAATTTATCTGGTCATGGGGCTTCAAAACCGGTTGTTAGATTTAGATTAATTTTGTTTTGATTTGAATCGAGATGGATTCTATTTTCAAAGGAAAGTTAATATTGACAATTAACAATTGGATGTTTCATCATCGTTGTCTAATTTATCTGCTCATTGTTATTGTTAGTAACTAGAGTTTTAAGCGTGAACTGTCGGGTAACTTAAAGCCCATTAAACTTTAATGACAAGTGGTTTTGATTTTAATAAAGCTTGATTCCGTAATCAAAAGGAGTTATTAATGAGGATAATTGAAATTAAATATAGAAGTCTCATGAAAATGTGATTTAAAAGTCCATCATAATAATAAATAATTAAAGTCTAAAGTTTTTAGGCACATTAATAATTCTGCAAAAATCTAAACGAAAAAAAATATATATATAGAGTTTAGGAGGGAAAATTTCCTCCAAAAAAAACTCTAACACTAAGTATAATTTAGGTATATAGATGGATGGACTTAATATTTGAGCATAAATTTTTTTCATAAGGTAGCGTCACGTGTACAGCTTTGAGAAAAGATGACAACATGTGTTGCTACTTTAGTATTAGTTATAGACGATTGTGAAACGATTAGTGCCAAAAACAAAACAAACTAACAGAAATTTACATGGGTCGTTGCTAACATATTGTTCAATTTACTTTATTAATACGCCTTTCCTCAATTAAATACATGTCATGTGATTTATAAGGAAAAATATATTACATAAGATGATTAAGATCTTATTAAATTCACATCATTATATACTTGTATATATACTTTCATGATAAATATGAAGTAATATATTTAACATAATACTCCATCAGTTTATCATGATCATTTATCATGGTTTATATTATTAATATGTAGGAACTTGTTAAAAATAATTTATTGTAAATATTCAAGCTTTTAAAATTTTATAAATTTCTCACTACTCGTACTACAAAGTCAGAGATTTAATATAATTGTCAATAATGTGTATTGTTGACTGTGAACTAAATTAATTATATTTCCTAAAAAAAAAAAAAAAAAAAACTTAATTGTAGATGTTTAAAGTTTTAATTGTATTTTTAAAAACGTAATTCCCTATCCTCAGTTCCCCGTGTTGCAAATTAAAATAAAGAGGAAGTATATCAGTTTCTTTGTTATTCACTTTAATTTATAACAAAACTCAAGTAAAATTTCTCACCTAAATACTACTCGTATTTTCTACATTACATGATCGATAATATCATAACTTTATTTATGAGAAGAAAAAAAAAAGTAGTCATTATTAATATACATTAGGAAAATCCTCAATCTGTTTCTTATCATCATGAATGATACATATATATATATAAAAAAAAAAAAAAAAAAAAAAGAAAAAACAAAAAAAGGGTGTTACAATATATCAGATAATTAGGCCCATAGTTAATTACTCCGTATGTATTGACAATTAGCTTTTAAAAAGTTGATAAAGAAAAAGATTAGCTAGGAAGTTAGCTAACTAATTAGAAGAATCATAAATGATGATAACCCCACAACAATGACATTTGCTAATTACAATGTGGCTCACTTAATTGAGATATTATCACCGCAACCTCTCATTTCACCTCCACATGGCACCTTTTCATTTGACACGTCAAATTCAAATGTACACTTGTTGTCTTGTTGATGCTACCCTTGAACTTGTTTATCACTTCCTTCTCGACATACACAACCAAATACGAGGTAGTCTGGTCTAGGGTGTGTAATAATAAAAAGGATATTTGTTTGGTTATACTAAGTAAAAACACCAACAATTAACCAAATCAAACCAAACTAAATTATATCAAGGTGTTGTTTGGTTATACTAATTTTTCATGGGCACTCAAAATTTCTAGAAAATGCAAAATTAATGAGTTGTTTGGTTAACCAAAAAAGTGCAAAATGGAGGAAGTTGGAATTTATGGTAATTTGAAGTAAATAATTTACTTTCACTAAAATTAAATAATTTACATAAGAAATGTATAGTTTATGAATATCAGTTTTTTTTAATAATTTGTGTTTATTAATAATTAAAGATATTATTGATCAAAGTTTTGCATCGATATACATGTCCAACTGAGACATTTATTTTGAAACAAAGGAATTACTCCGTATCACACAAAAGGGATATAATCACTACAAGATTTTTGACAAAGCTACGTTCCTTATACAATATAGAGTACTTCATACATGAATATAAACGAACATTTATTACCACTATTTATTACCGCCGGATCATTTCTAATTTTTCAATTATGTGGTCACGAGCTAGTGAATGGACGGTCGATATCGATGACACCCAAGCAATACTAAACCCAGGATAAACCTCTCCAAAGTCTCCAACCTACGGTTCAAAATTCTAAGGCCATGACTGATAATTCCACTTGAGCAAGAGAATACAATGTGTTTACTACTATCCAAATTTAGCCTGTCCTTTTTTGTTGATATTTTCCCATTTGGTTTTATTTGTTCATTTAAATTGACACCCAAAAATTCCAAAACAAATAAAAATCAAATCTTTATTAAAAATAAATAATTAATTTTTTTGATGTTGCTGATTCCGAATATCAATGACTGATCACTGAAAGAGGGGGATGTTGGAGTGTTGAATATAATGCAGAAGGAGAAACTTCGGGAAGTGTGATTTCAGAAGGAGGAGAGAGAAACTAGAGAGAGAAAGCTTCACAGCCATGGAAGTTTCTGGGTTGCAATCTCAAAGGCCTGTTTGGTGCAGTCAAAGTTTTATTATTAGTAGGCAAAATGCCCACTTTAATCTCAGACCTTTTACTGGTTTAGTCCCTTGCAAATCATCTTACAGATCTTTTCATGTAAGTTTCTTCCCTTAATTTTTGACAAAATTAAATCTTTTTTTATGGGTAAGTGATGAAATTTTATTTCTAATTTGATATTGGTAATTGGTACGGAGTAATTTAATTTCTTGTTTTTGCAATGATTTTGTGATGAAATTTTCATTTGATTGTCTTTGTTTGTTTAATTCCGATTTTAATAAAGTGTAATATGTGCTGTAGATGGTTTACATTTCAATGGTGAATTTTCAGACATTGTTGTTGTGTGTCGGTTTGCCGAGTGTATATAGAGGGCCATAGAGGGCAGTGATGTAGACGAGATTTGATTCTAGTTCTAGGTATGACCCCGAGACTTTATGAGCCTAGTTAGCTGACATCTCAGATGAAATTCCCATTTGATTCTCTAATTTACCCTTTTGATAAGTGAATAGTGTTATTGATTTCATTGTTAATCTGTTTGTTTTATTTGAGAATGCTGTGTGTTTTTGTGGGTTTTTATTAGATTTGCTATGAAACTGTGAAAGTGTTTATTTTGATGATTGTAGCTAAATATGTTCATATTATTGCACTTTCCAACCCCTTTTCATTAGTTCATGTGGGTGTTTGGATGCCTTCTCTGGCATTAGCATGTGTAGCAGTGATCAATCAAATATCGGTTTTGGATAATTGAAACTAATTGGTAGCATGTGTAGCAGTAATCCTTCCAATATCAGTTTTGGATAATTGAAACTAATTGGTGCTGTGTGGTTCAATTTTGAGCAGTACTTCTTTGTTGTGATTTTGTATCTGCATTAAATCATTGACTAAGAATTGTTTCTTGTTACCCATTTTTGTCCCAGTCTTATTCTAGGCACCTGCAGTACCCAAGGAATGGAAATTTCCGTCCGTGTTATGCCACTGGAGGTTAGTGCGTCTTCATTACCGTTTCCCATTTGAGATTAATTTCGGGAATACTTTCCTTTTGCATTCTCTGACCGTGCCTTAGCAATGCTTATTCTCCTTAATAGAATTTTCAAAGAAGAAACAGAAAAAATGGTCAAGGCCCAAAGGTTCTGCTCCCAAAGGATTTGTCCCAAAGGCTCCTGTTGGCACTAGCACACCAAAGAGGGATCAAAAGGACGAAGAAGATAACAGTCCTTCAGTTGATTCGTCTCCTGAGCTTGGTGGAAGAGCATCTGACGTAGGATCTAGTGCTGAGAAAACTGAGAGATCAGAAGTTTCTCAAGTAAATAGAATTGAAGAGCAAAGGGAGGATTCAACTAATGGGAAAGCTGGAAATTCATCCCTAACCAAGAAAGCAGTAACTAATGGTAATAAAAATCTGCTTAAGGAAATTGACACGGTTACAGGGTTTATCAGGGAAGGTAGTAGAAGTACTAGTGATTTGATTGATGAAACTGGATTAGAACCCGAGGATTTAGAGGGCAAACAAGGAAGTTCTACTGAAAGAAAAGTGTTGGAATCTGAAAAAATAGTTTCTGGTACTGGAATCATTGATGAGAATGAGAAGGATAAGATGACCGAAAATGAAGCTTTAGATTTAGATAGAGGGGGTTCTGAGATTTTTGAGGACATGGCTTCAGAAAATAAGGAAAGTAATGAAGACAACTATGAGGCTGAAACTAGACTGTTGGTATCAGAAAATAAGGTTTCTGATTTAACCCCTTACGAGAAAAAAGTAGAGGATATAATTAGCGTTCAGGAGAATATATCTTTGATGAGCTACCCAAGAGTCGAATCTGACAAGAATGTTACTGACTCTGAAGTGCTGCCAGGATCTGAAACTGTCCTTAGCAATGAGAGGGAAACCAAAGAGTTAGATAGTAAGGAATCTGATGATGAGAGGGTTACAGAAACTGAGGTGGTGGGTTCAAGCACAAGGGCTGCTATAACCACTGATGAGAAAGAACTGGAAGAGGCTTTGCGAAAGTTGCAGTTGGAGATGGAAGCTCTTGAACGGCAAAAAGTACTTGAGGAAATGGCGGAGGACAATTTTTCCAAAGGAAACAAAGTTTTTATTTATCCGGAGACAGCAAAACCTGATCAGGATATAGAGCTCTTCCTTAATCGAAGTCTTTCCCCTCTGAAAGATGAACCAGATGTGATGGTCATGGGAGCATTTAATGATTGGCGTTGGAAATCATTTACCACAAAACTTCAAAAGAGCCATCTCAGGGGTGATTGGTGGTCCTGTCAGATTCATGTTCCCAAGGAAGCATACAAGATGGAGTTTATTTTTTTTAACGGGCAAGATGTTTATGACAATAATGAAAAGAAAGATTTCCACATTATAGTGGAAGGGGGCATGGACTTCGATACTTTTGAAGATTTCTTGCTCGAGGAGAAACGTAGAGAGCAAGAGAATTTGGCAAAGATAGAAGCTGAGAGGAAAAGACAAGCTGAGGAGCAGCGGCGAAGGGAGGAAGAGAGGGCTGCTAGTGAAGCTGATCGAGCACAAGCAAAGGCAGTAGTAGAGAAACGAAAAGAGAAACTGAGAGAACTGGTGAAGAAAGCTGTGTCATCCATGGAAAATGTTTGGTTTTTTGAACCTCGTGAGTTTAAAGATGGTGATTTGGTTCGTTTGTATTATAACAAGAGCTCCGGCCCTCTTGTTCATGCCAATGATGTTTGGATTCATGGGGGTCATGATAATTGGAGTTTTGGGCTCTCAGTTATTGCAAGACTAGTGAAATCTGAGGAGAAAGATGGTGACTGGTGGTATGCTGAAGGTATGATAATGCTATATTTAATATTTCCTTGACTAAATTCACATTTTAATGAATTTTCCACCTCTTTATTCTTTATCATTTTTTGGGGAAAGGGCAGGTAGTATATGCTAACAGATTATGGATTTTGCAATTAAGTTCATCCAGTGGCTGCTAATAGTCCTACACCAGAACAGACTCCGAACATACCACTCTTATTGTACCCGCTGTGGCCTGTGAATTCAGGATAATAGAATTCATATCTTATAACATACCAGCCTGATAACTGAAAAGGTGTTCTTTACCATTGACAAAAGTCTGAAGGCTGGACGAGGGGTTTTATGTTGCTTCTTGTCTAAAGTCTCAAGGCACCTCTCATTAACTAGATGCACTCTTTGTTAATTGATGATATATTCTTGTCCGTTGGAGATTTCTATCTGTTTCCTGCAGTTTTAAGCATTATTCTTAACACAGTAAACGATTGCTTATGCTTTTCCTACCAATGAAAATCTCACTCGAGCAACATTTTAATGTATTAGGAAGATAACATCCACCCATGCCTTAGTAGTGCACATTTTTTATTGTGATTTGACTTTTTGAAAATCTTAATTGTATTGTACTAGCTTGGGATCACTGTTTGGATGAATCAAAGCAGGGGGAAAAAGCCTACCATCAAAACCAAGTGAGTTTCCAACCATAAATCTATTGGCAATAAGAGTAGCTCATCCCCTCCTGCTTACAGTGTGGGGCAACCTAACACTCACACTTGTATCCAACAGTGCAAAGAACTAAATTTTAGAAACAACACTTTGAAGATCGTCAACAACAAAAGGGATGCACAAGCCCAAATCAAAATAGCATCTGTAAAGTGCACATGTCCAGCCAAACCATTTAGTACCAAATGTTCAGAAAACCCCATCAACAATACCCAATAGAGGTTCCATCCTAAAAGCAATTGACAATAGGAGTAACTCACATGGCTTATTAGAAAGCTCACTGTTTCTAATTCCAATGTGGGATATCTCAAGTCACACTCGCAGATCCACTTGCACCCAACAATTAGAGCTATCTGAAACTAACGAAATGACTGCTGCATTGTCTGTAATCTAAATTTGAAAAAGTTTGCTGCTAATATTGCCAGTAGCTCTTGTGGAGCTGTGGTCAGTTGCGAATCCCCATTGCAATATATTTAAGGATGTGTTATTGCATATAGCACTAGCTAGGAGTGATATAATGAGGATCTTTTGGAGGACCACAGGAGATAAAATCTTGGATCATGCTGCTAATCTCATCCTTTAAATCAAGGCTTAGGCATTGTTGTTAAAATCTGGAAATGGGAATTTGTTCTTCTTTTGCCAGATTATACCTCCATTAGGTCTTTAGATATTTTCTGGTATTGCCAAATGTGCATTCTGGTTTTCAATCTGATTACAGGAAGTTTGGCGCTCTTAATTTAGAATCTTTCTAGATGCCTGGAAACTGTAAGATTGAAGGAGTGTGAAACAGAGCTTTTATTTTCTATTATAGGCCTGACCTATAGAATTTTGTTTTCAATTACAGTACTTTTTTATTCAAGTAGCAACATATATACTTTTATTAACTATAAAACACTCAACTATAGTCCATTTGTGCTTCTTTGCTTATTTCCTTGAGTGAGCATGAGGGAAATTATTTTTGGTCAATTGACGAAGTGCTATGGTAGTTATTATTGTCCTAAAAGTTACAATCATTGCTCTATATGGTGGTGACGTCACTTTCAGACTAGCGAGGCTGATACTCCTTGTTTGTAGTTGGAAACTGGGAAAAGTGAACTAAGGTGATGAGCTGGTGACCATTAACATCTGAGAAATTACTTTGTTTTCTTTGTCAGTTCTGGTGCCCAAATGTTATATTCATAACAAACTGACTAGAAGGAAATAATGACTAAAAGGAAAGAGTTGTTTCCCCTTGCAATGATACTGCATATGGACTAGAAGGATCCTTGGAATGAACCAAAAAGATCAATAAAAATATGTTATAAATGTAAATGCTCTCGAAATATTTATAATTTACTATACTGATGCGTTTGAGTGCATCTTTGTATAGTTACGGTTCCTGATCAAGCAGTTGTCTTGGACTGGGTGTTTGCTGATGGGCCACCACAGAAGGCTTCCATATATGATAACAATAAGCGCCAGGATTTCCATGCTGTTGTTCCCAAGTCTGTTCCTGACGAACTATACTGGGTTGAGGAAGAACTGCGGATATACCAGAAACTTCAAGAGGACAGGAGAGTAAAAGAGGAGGTCTTGCGTGCCAAGGTGATTACTTTGTTATTAAGTTTCATCGTAATGCTAGCCTTTCACTTTAGAGTTGTAGTTATATTGGTACTGCTAAAGTGCTGTAATTGACAACAGATAATTCCTGGCCTTTTAAAGAAACTATCTACTAGCTATCATCATGCTGCAGTAACAACAATAAATGCTAAAAAAAAAACATTCCTTATTTTGAATGGGCAGTTTTCTCTTGGGAAAGGCCATCAATTTACCACCCCGTGTCCCCGTCTCTGGTCCCTCAAGTAGTCTTCACCGCCTTAGGAGCTTATCAGTGTTATTTGTAGTGCATTTTGATATCTTGAGAAATAGACAACACACCACTATCTGCTCAAAATCTAACCATTTGCTGGAGAGTACTCACCTAAGTCTTCTATGATCACAGCATATAGTTTCCATAGAAGGAATGGACTTAGCGCCTATTGCCCACTTTAAAATCCGTGAGGGTAATGAAGAGTTGAACAAATGATGTCTGGAGTCCTCTGGTCAAATGATGCTGGGTTTCCCTGGTTGGTGTTATTGAAGTTTTTAATTTGGATGTGTATAGATACACCATACATGTATCGGTTACTTTTTTATATGTGTCTAGTGTTCTAGGCTTTAGATACCTGTCTTGATTACTTGTGCCTTCCTCTCTTTGTCTACCCCCTTTTTTTTTGGAGGGTGGTTCTATTGCTAGTAAGAAAAGATTTTACAGGTATTGCCATATTAGTAGACTGATGTTGCCTGAAACAGCCATTTTACAACTAACAGTGGACTTGTTTTATGGCACCTTCCTAGAAGTTCTCTCTCTCTCTCTCTCTCTCTCTCTCTCTCTGGGTCTATCATCCCCTTTTGTTGTGTAATTGTTTTGTACTGCATGTAATTGTTTTGTACTGTATTTTACCTGGCCTTGTTGACTGACATCGGTAACATGTATATTCTATAATAACAATGTTGTTCTATGCACAGGCTGAAAAAACAGCTCGCATGAAAGCTGAAACCAAAGAAAAAACTTTGAAGACATTCTTGCTGTCTCAGAGGCATATTGTTTACACTGATCCTGTGGATGTTAAGGCAGGACAAGATGTTACTGTGTATTACAATCCCTCTAACACTGTTCTGAATGGGAAGCCAGAAGTTTGGTTCAGAGGTTCTTTTAATCAATGGACCCATCGTAAAGGTCCGTTGCCTCCTCAGAAAATGTTCCCTGCCGAGAATGGTACTCATGTCAAGACAACTGGTAAGCTTAATCAACTGCTTAATTGTACGATTAATTTTTATTCATGAATACATTTTCATGATGTTAGTTGTGTATTTTTACCTCTTTGTTTCTTCACGTGTCTAGTGAATCCTTGAAGGATTTCACTGTTGAGAAAATTTCTAGCCACGTTATTTGTGTCTTTTTCTATTATTTACTGAGACAAGAAAGCGCCTCTCATTTCAGAAAATTTCATGTGTTTTGTTTTGCTGATGTGCATTGTGTGTCATATATAATTGAAATTACATGCTGTTAATTTTGTATTGGATGGGTGACTGACATTTCTTGTACATGTGAACATTGATGTTGTCCTGATCTTTGTATTTTAATTGTACTCTTTGTTCTCATGATTGAATTATGTCTACTCAAAATGGTGTGCTATGAATTAGTTTGCTTGTTTGAAATTTTCCTTAGGAAAGTTTGTTGACTGGAACATCCTTTGTTGATGTTACTAGGGCAGTAAAGCATTCATTCATTTATTTACCCATATAATTATTTAAAGGCTGAGTTCAAGCATGAGACAACAGTTGCTTTTGCCGTTGATATTATAACACTAGATATCTCCTAATGCAAAATTCTTTTTGTAGTCAGGGTGCCATTGGATGCGTACATGATGGATTTTGTTTTCTCTGAGTGGGAAGATGGTGGAATTTTTGACAACAAATTTGGTATGGATTACCATGTACCTGTCTTTGGTGGGATAGCCAAAGAGCCTCCAATGCATATTGTTCATATAGCTGTTGAAATGGCTCCCATTGCTAAGGTAAAATCTTCACTGAGTTTATTCTTTTTTTGATGCAATTTTCAATCTGTGCATGCGAGTGTATGTAAGAAGTTTTTTTTTCCTGATAAACTGCCTTTGGGCTACAATTGTGGTGATACATGAGATTTTATTCCCGTAGAGATTGTGGTTTTACTAGCATTTTGCTATAATCTGAAATTAAATCTGGGTCTATATGAGCAAGTACTCATACATGTAAATCAAACTACTTGAAGGAAAATATTTTTTTTTATTATATTGAAGTATTTATTGTGCTGTAGACTCTTAAAATACATCTGCATTATACTATAATCTGAAATAAGATCTGGGTCAATATGAGCAAGTAGTCAAACACATAAACCAGATTTGGTGAAGGAAAATACATCTGCATTACCCTTCACCATGGATTACGGACGGAAAATACATTAAGGCCTCGTTTGGTTGCATTAGGGAAATGGAAACCCATAGGAACTTATAATTCATGGGAAGTTAATATTCCTAGGAAATGCTAAAATCATGTTTGGTTGATATGAAGGAAATTGTATTTCCCATGAATTAATTTCCTATGTTTTGTTTGGTTAACCTTGTGTAATTCTCATATATTAAATTCTATCTTAACTACTTTTCCAATTTTTGAGGGTAAAATTGTAATTTTATCCAAAAATACATAAGGGAATTTTGATTGACCAAGGTATAGTGGGGGAATTAAATTCCCATGTTTTGGAGGAGTTTCCATTTACCAAGGAAATTCAACTTCCCACATATATGTTAACCAAACAACTATGCATATACACACTTCCCATGAATTTCTATTTCCACCATTAGTATAGTGTAACCAAACAAGGCCTAAGATTCATGATGATGAAAATGAGGTGACCTCAACTTATTTTCCTGCTCACAAATTGTGTCTGATAAATCATTCTATTTTGGTGCTTTTCCCCTCTCCAAATTAGTCTTTGAGTTGGAATAAGAATCCTAAATAAAAGAAAAGGTTCTCTATTTAGATAACGGACTTCTATATGCAATTTAAGCTAATGTTACAAACACACAAATTTATAATCTGAAATTGCTGCAGGTGGGTGGCCTTGGAGATATTGTTACTAGCTTGTCTCGTGCGGTTCAAGATTTAAACCATCATGTTGATGTAATTCTTCCAAAGTATCAGTGCCTGAACCTTAATCATGTAAGCCACTTTCCACTTTTTTTTTTTTTTTTTTTTTTTTTTTAATTCTTACTGTCTTAATTAGATTGGCTTCATAAGCTCATTAAGACTTGAAATGTTTCCTTCATAAACTTTAGAAATTTTGGTTTTAATACCTATTTTATGCTGAGTTCAATAACTAACTGCCTTATAAGTTACATTACTACTTAAAATGTCCGAAAGCTTATGGTTTTTCTCTATGGTAACGGATTAGTCAGAACACATAACTATGCAAGGAGCTCCACAAAAAACAACGCTATCTCCACCCCTGCCGCTTCCACCGCCTCCACCACAATGTGTTTCCACTCCAGCCCCTGCTACCGCTGGGCACCACCATCATCTGCTGAGCCCTTCTTCTTACCTCTCTTCCCGTTCAATTTCCATTGCTTCCCAGTTCCTATCACCATATTCTTACTCCTTAGTCCTTACAATCCTCCTTCAATTTTCATGTGCCCTATTCCCCTTACCATAGCCAACCAATTGCAGGGGTTACAGTACTTGCTGGAAGAAGGGGAAGGGATGGGCAGTGGAAGGGGAACTACTGTCTAATGGAGAAGGGCAGGTGAGGGAGAAGGGGAGAGGGAGAGCAGTAGGGCACAAACAGGTCTTTTGTTGGAAGGGGAGGGCAAGTGGAATGGAATAATAACTAATTTTCAAAAGAAAAATATATTAAAAGCCAGATTTACCAACTTTTATTTTACCGTCTTAGAAAAATGTATTTTAATTTTAAGTATATGCATTTTCATCATTTGATTGCAACAGGTGAAGGACTTCCATCACGCAAAGAGCTATTCATGGGGTGGTACTGAGATAAAAGTTTGGTTTGGGAAGGTTGAAGGCTTGTCTGTCCACTTTTTGGAGCCTCTAAATGGGTAAACCTTTTGTGCTCTTATGTTTATGCCACTACTAAAATTTCAGCAATTGCTCGCTAGTGATGGAAAACAAAAATAAACAGCAACTGTTGTAGGCGAGGCCTGTGGTCAGGATATGTGCTGTTTTAACCTAATTTGCTGAAGTCAATACGGAGATTTTTTAAAAAGACTTTTAGAAAAACGTTCTGTAATCTGTACAGATAAAGTTTGGAAATTAAAAAGCAGTAAGCATGTACAAAGTTATTAGATAGTGCCTGGGCTTCTGATGAACTAAGATAAGTATTTATGCCGCATCTTTAATTATGAGACTTAACTTTATCTCCTTTTGGCTACATATTTGTATCCACGCTATAGAGTCTTGGCTCTTGGGATTTGTTTGAATTTTTATTTTTATTTTTTTTCCTGAAAATTCTCAAGTGTGACTCTCCTTTATAAAATCTTATCACTGTTCAGCCTTTTAAAGGTGAAGTTTAGACTCAAGACAAAAAGATCTTCTCTTCATTTATGGCAAATACATTTAAGTGATAGAGTGTTACAAATAATCTCATAGATCATGATGTAAACAGCCATCTTCTTCTTTTTTTTTATGGTCCTTGTCCAGCTTAACAAATCATCGCATTATTGAATGAATCTCGGGCAGTACTCTCTCTACGCTAAAAATCTAGCTCTTTTTCTAAGAATGTCATTTATTCCACATGTCCCTAGTCTATAGTGTTTGGCAGCCTATTATAGTCTCTGCTGTATATATACTATTGTGTATGATTTGGTCATTTGCCATGGTTCTTAAATTCCCTCCTTGCTTTGGACAGATTGCTCCAGACTAATTCTGTCTATATTGGTAAAAATGATGGTGAAAGATTTGGTTTCTTTTGCCACGCTGCACTTGAGTATCTCCTCCAAAGTGGATTTCATCCTGTAAGTTCAGACTTTGACTTAATTGAATTGCTATTGCTGATTCTTTGATCTCCGTCAGTTTACTGTCCATGAGGTTTTTGTCTTTTTATCTATAGCCTTTCTCAGTAGTGTATCTTGTCACAAGTTAAGTTCTCTTGTAGTGCACAATGAGATCTAAATATATTCCGTTTCTTCTTAGATGCAATTTGTAATTTGTTCACTTGGTGCAGGATATAATTCATTGCCATGATTGGTCAAGTGCTCCAGTGGCATGGCTGTATAAAGAGCATTATGGGCAGTATGGTCTTACTAATGCTCGTGTTGTTTTCACTATTCATAACCTCGAGTTTGGGGCGTACTTCATTGGAAGAGCAATGGCATATGCAGACAAGGCTACAACTGTGAGTCTATACTTGCCTGTTTAACATCTTGTTGTGTGGCTGTGGCAGCTACGATCTCTGAGGTCAAAGAATTGGGGGGGGGGGGGGGGGAGGGGGGGGGAGGGGGGGGCATACTATGGATATTTGCATTACTTTTGGTCTAGTTACGCCTATGTTCGCAAGTGATGGTGGTTTTAATTTATGTATATTATCACTTATCAGGTTTCAAATACCTATGCAAAGGAGGTTGCTGGAAATCCTGCTATTGCTCCTCACCTGTACAAATTTCACGGCATATTAAATGGGATTGATCCAGACATATGGGATCCATTCAATGATAAGTTCATTCCAGTAAGTAATTCATCTTCATTTAATCTGTAATTTTTATTTTTTTTCGAAAAGCTTAAGTATGCTTTTTTTAGTCTTATCAATTATTTTCTCTAATTTACTGAGATATGAAGGTGGATAATTTGGCACTGATATCTTAGCTTAGACTAAAATTTCTTATTTATGAAGCATCTTTGATTAGGATTTCGTTCTACTGATTCTAAAGCTTGAGATAGCAATTTATATGACTCAGATGGTACTTTATTTTTCCCTTGTCCATCAAAACTCAAGCACAGCTTCTTAATCTGACATATTTGCATGATGCATATAATATCAGGTAAATTACACATCAGAAAATGTTGCAGAAGGTAAAAAAGCAGCCAAGGAAGCTTTACAACAAAGGTTTAGCATAAAAAAAGGTGATTTCCCATTAGTGGGAATAATTACTCGTTTAACTCATCAGAAAGGAATCCATCTCATCAAGCATGCTATTTGGCGCACTATAGAACGTGGCGGACAGGTCTTCCTCCTATTTATCTTGTTTCTTTTCTTAATAATTGTTTCTTGGTTTGTCACAGTTGGTCAATTTCAGTGTTCTATGATTTTAGGTTGTGTTGCTGGGCTCTGCTCCCGACCCACGCATACAGCAAGAATTTGTTGATGTTGCAAATCAATTGCATAATATGCATCATGACCGTGCTCGCCTTTGTTTGAATTATGACGAACCTCTTTCACACTTGGTATTGATCATATAACTCAATTGCTTGCTCTTTTAAATTGTCTTCTAGTAACTGAATATAATGTGCATGTAGGCTTACTAGTCTCATTAAATTTCTCCGTAGATATATGCAGGTGCAGATTTGATTCTTGTCCCCTCAATATTTGAGCCATGTGGCCTAACCCAGCTTGTTGCTATGCGATATGGTTCAATACCGGTTGTTCGCAAAACTGGAGGTACAAATCTTCTCATATTTCATACTCATCATCAACATAAATAGTTTATTAACCACGTTATCAAGTTATGTAATCTTCTTGTGTATTCTACATTGGTTCTATGGTGAGATAATTCTTCAAGTTATTTGCCTCAGCTCCCTTACGTTTCTGGTTTTTTGATTCCCTGCTCAATTCGATATCTTTATTGGAAAGCTGAAGTCATGTCTTGGTTTTATGTAGGCTTCAAAATTTGCATTCATAAATCATGTTGTTACTGGTGTGAGATATCCAGTCTTTGTGTTCTCGTCTTTATCATGCTATATATTTACAAGCTTACAACTGTACCTCAGTAGTCAATATGTTAAAACTATCAATGTCTACTCATGTTTTTACAGGACTTTACGATACTGTATTTGACGTTGATCATGACATAGAGAGAGCAAGAGCACAAGGTTTGGAACCAAATGGATTTAATTTTGAAGGAGCTGATCCTGCCGGGGTAGATTATGCTCTTGACAGGTTAGTATATTTCTATACTTGCTCAAATAGCAACAAAAAGAAGAAACTAATAAAGTCTAAAAGTGGTTATATTTTAACATCATGTATCATCTTAATTCAAAGATCACCACCAATTCATCAACAACATTACATTACACCATCACCACAAAGCCTCTAAAGTTCTCCCTTCTAAATTGCCTGTTTCCTTCTAACTCTTTGTCTGATTTACAACTGTGCGTAAGTTTATAATGAATTACAGGTGTAGGTGGTTTAATGAGCCAAGAGAGCCTAATTTCAAGTCTGTGTTACTCAGAGTTGCTAAGCTAGGTTTGTATTTTGTCTAAGATAACTCCCTAAGAACTTCAGGCCTATGTCACTTTAACAAAGATGCACATTTAGGTACAGGAAAGACAGGTTCTTGCATTTTGTAAGCTTTTAGTCTGATAAAGTCGTGTAGAGTGTCCAAGCATTATCTGAAACGACAAGTTCATAATCACATATTTACATGTTCTTGTGACATCAGGAGTTCCTAATGAGTAGAGACATAACACTATAACAGGCCATGTTTTGTTCATGTACAGTACTACATTGCTAGCCTCCTGCCCATTATCCCCCTCTCAAGTCCCCAACCAGATGAAAATTTGATCCCATAACCTGAGATTTGTAGGGCCAATGGACTACCATGGTTATCTGTCTGTACGATATAAAGTTGAAGGATGCTTACTTCCTGATGAAATTTTCAGGGCTATATCAGCTTGGTATGATGCAAAGGAATGGTTTAACACATTGCGCAAGCGTGTGATGGAACAAGACTGGTCTTGGAATCGGCCTGCACTAGAGTATATGGAACTTTATCACGCAGCACGGAAAAACTGAGGATCTCACTCTGGCTTAGGCAAAAGGGGTTTAGGACATTCTACAGATTGTATAGGTTCATCAATATTTTGCTGATAAGTTTTTGTTCACTCAAAAGCGTCTAGTCTTCATATTGCTTCATATAAGGTATCAATATTTAGTCATAACTCTTAATAATGTGAAGTAGCAGAATTCTAGGCATACACTTTAGCATACCATAAAGGAACAGTAAATGATTAAAGCTATTTATACTGTTTCAAAATATCAATAAAATGATTCATTCTTTTGCTAGAAAAAAACATTTTATCATTTCATCTTCCGTCTTTTCTTCTTTTGGACTTTGTTTTGGAATCGAGTGACCAGAGTTATGGAAAGTTTATTCTATTATATACTACTCCGTATGTATTACGAAGTTGTTTATTATGGTTACAATGGCCCCAAAAGTTTGGGATCCCCACCTTCCTCAATACCATACAACCATTAAGCTCGCACTTAATTCTCTAGTTTGTTTACTCTTTAATATATTAAATTTTACTAGTTAAATTGAAAGAAAAGTTAATACTTATGCAAATTCATACAGACAGATTTGAACCTCCAAACTTATTTTTGATCAAAATTTGTTTTATTGAGGAATATTTTTTTTTTTTTCCAATAAATACCTATTGTACTCAATAGAGTTACGAGTGAAAACTAATTTTTACTGATCTAAACTAATATTGATGAAGGTTGGGTTACTTCCTTTAAACTTAAGAAGGTTTCGTTAGATTTGTAAAACTAAACCATATATATTACTCCGTACATATTTGTCATTCACATGATGCATAAAATTTGAAAAGACAAATTATAGTTTTCAATTTTTCATAGGTGAGGAATTGTAACCTGAGAATAGGTTATAATTTGTTTGGTCTAGGTTATGCTGTTTTCATCATCAAATATTACAATTTGTACAAATCAATCATTTCAACCGTGAAATTGATACATTATGACTGTTAAACAAGTCACTACCACGCACCAACTCTCTTGTGTTGACCATTGTTGGCATCATTACATGCCTAAGCTGAAATTGACTGATTTTCATTAATGTAAGTTGTTTATCAATTATTTATCATATGAAAGTCATATTAGATCCTATAGACGCAAGACTTTGGAGTTAGTGATTTGTTATTGGCGGGATTACACTATGATAAATTATGTAAGGTTTAAATTTAAGATGTGCGGTAGGAGGAGAGACGATCCACATATAAGTTAACCATAGTTTCATTCTAAAATAAAAGACAATAACCACTATGCATGTCACGTTCTACCATATTTCTAATTTTAAATGATTTCCCTTCCACACACATGAAAAAATCCTTGACAATCTCTCATTTTACACGTGTGTTCTATCACAATTAATCCCCCTTAATTGTATGATATGTATCATTCAATTGAGCTACAACTCTACGAGTACAGCTTGTTATACAAGTACTAAATTTCTTCATGTTTATTATATTAGAGTATTCCCTCCATCTTATAATATAGTTACTGTTTTTCTATTTTGGGACCCAAAATGTTATTCATGTTTCTATTTTAAATAGTATGTAAAGATCATTATACCCTTATTTTTTTAACTTTATTCATTATACTTCCTACATTACCCTTGAATTTTGCACATGCTTTGTACTTTTTTCCACTTTCTCTCTCCAACTTTTGACTATAATTATACTTTTCACTTTTATTAATGTACTTTATCTACTTTCTCCTCCTATTTCTTAAGTACCGTGACACAATCAGGAACTATATATTGGACGGAAGGAGTATATTTTTTTCTAAGTCAGTAATTAATATTACGCATGTACGAACTCGTAATTGCTACCTCCTTTAATATAATCAATTTACACTAAATCGATTGGTAGAATTCAATAAAGTAGTTCTTTCGCAATCAAGTTCATTTGACTAATTCCACTAGTTATAGTTTCAAGCTAATTATAATTAATTAGAGAGGACCCCTTTTACATTAGATTAATGAACGGTTTCAATTAGTAGCTTTAAGGTTAAAAACTTAAAATGATGGCCGGGAATAATCCAAAGGTAAACCATTATATTTATATATATATATATGATATTCTCGAACATACGTACAATCGAGTGTACATTGTATATGGCACGGTCAAGACTATTTTTTTACCTATATATTTGTACCTTGTGAGCATATGCATAGGCAATTTATGCCTTTCGGCATAACAGATTGTACAATGAGTAACCTGGACGAATTGTTTTTATATATCTTTGCATTGTATTATTGTATTTGTACTATATGATATGGCTAGATTAAAACCGCGCGACACACGGTTTTAATAAAAAAAATATATATATTATAGTATAGAACTCGTATATATAATGATTTTTTTCAATTTTGTCATAAATTTATTGGAAGGAGATTTCTTAAAAGAAATACAGTTTGAATATTTCAGGAAATTTTTGGACATTTGAATATTAGTGTTAAGGAATTGAGGAGAGGGAATGATAGATCTTTAAATAAAAAAAAAAAAGGAATACAGTTTCTATTCAATTTACTATACTTCGGTTACTATATTAAAGTTGTTGAAAGAACTTAATTAGCTTGTTTACGAATTATCACACAAAAGAAAAAAAATCCCTTCAAAAAAAAAATTACAATAAAATGACATCATCAATGATTTTAGGCGGGAAACAATTTAATAAGAAAACGACACGTATACAGTTTTGAGGAGAGATAATGTCAGCAATATTTTATTTTAGTAATAATTAATAGATAAGTAGGGTTTCTTATGTTGTGAGTAAGCTGATATATCGGTCTATAAGAGCCATAGAATATGCTTTGGTCCTTTTAGTAGATTAATGATGCACGCAGTGATGACCACCAGGCAACAAACTTTAGGATAATGGCATAATTTTTATAAATGACTAGTTCAGGTGGGTTTTTGACAAGGATAAGAGAGATACATTACACAATTTGTAGTGGAGAATATTTCCAATTGGTTCTCAATAATAATGTCCCACAAGATATTGAATGATAGGCTCGGGTCACTCAATACAATACCTAAATTGACTTATAAATAGCCTTTACATTACGACATTTTTTTAAAATTCCGATATATAGAAGCAAAGGATTTTTCTAGCTATTTTGAAGAGAGATAAATTTGTGTGAATCTTAATTCCATGTAATATAATGCACACATCATGTCGAGTTTAGACTTGTTCTAGCTAGGGCTGTACACCGGTCCAAAACCGGACCGGACCTGGACCGGACCTGTTAGGACCGGGACCTGAATCAGCCAATTCTGAGGACCGGGGACCGGACCTGATTCAGCAGGTCCGGGTCAGGTCCAGACCTGAGCAATCAGGTCCGGGTCAGGTCCAGACCTGAACAGACCTGTTTTGTGTGTTTTTTTTTTTGTTTTTTTTTAAAGAAAATAAATAACCTGTTGGACCTAATTATAGACCTGTTTACATAAAATCTTAAAATATCAATGACAAAAACTACATAAAATCTATAAGTCTCAAATATAACAAATAATTCATTAAATTACATAAAGTCTCTAAGTCTCAAATACTAGAAATACATAAATTATCCAAAGACAACTTGAATTTTGGCGAGTTGCTTTCCCTTTGATTGCGTGATTCACACTAATGAGTCAACGAAAACAACTTCATCGTCTCCATCGTTAGATACATTATGTTGCACCTCTAAATAAAAAAACATTATAGAATATATTAATGAATGATAACAATGAAATAATAAATTTGGTTAACAAAATTACAAGTACATAAAATTAATACTACCTTTCTCCATTTCTTGTAACTCTTTCAAATTTTCTTCCATATCCTCTTACTTTTTCTGTTCCATATGTATTCCCGCCCCGCTTTTAACTTCTTATCTGGAGGCAAAGTAGATTGCAATTCTTCCATATCCTTTTCAAAAAGTGGCTGTGACATTTCTTAAGAAAAAGCAGCAGATCTTTTGGATTGAGAGCTCTCCATCTTCAATATAATTATACACAATCTTCAATATAATTATACACAATATAAGTAATTTTTAAGTAACAATTATAAACACATAACATTTTATAAAAAAATGTGAGAACAACTTACATTGCAAGAGTAAGAATCCGTGGTTCTTGTTGATCCTAAACATATAAAACGATAGAATTCAATTACAATTCAAATTGAATTCACAAAATAAACAGAATACATACAAATATACAATACACCAACAAGGCAGCAAATTCTACAATATGAACTAAATTCGAAAGAAACAGATTTTAAACAGATTTATCAATCTACTTTAAACAGATTTATCAATCTTTTCTGATTTATCAATCTACTCCCAGCAAATTCACGGAATAAACAGATTTTAAACACACAAATCGAAAGAAACCAAAATTCAACATGCATTCGAAACAAATGAACTAAAATAATTAAAAAACAGTTACTTAAAATAAATAAAAAAACCTCAAAAAAAATCATGAATTCGAAAAAAATGAACTAAAAAACAGAACTTGCAAACATCAAACAATCATAATAAGCAATTGAAATACAAAATACCCAATTAAAATATAATTAGATTTAATTTAAAAAAAAAAGAACTTACAGGATACCAAAATTCAACATGCATTCGAAACAAATGAACTAAAATAATTCAAAAACAGTTACTTAAAATAAATAAAAAAACCTCAAAAAAAATCATGAATTCGAAAAAAATGAACTAAAAAACAGAACTTGCAAACATCAAACAATCATAATAAGCAATTGAAATACAAAATACCCAATTCAAATATAATTAGATTTAATTTAAAAAAAAAAGAACTTACAGGATACCAAAATTCAACATGCATTCGA